AGGACCACACATTCCTATAGAGCCTATGAATGAGATTGCTTCCCCGGACACTTGACAAACAATCTAATGTCAACAGATTTGTCAGGATATGAACACTCGGATACGCTAATATTGTACAATGCTGATTACACAGAAAACAAAGAAATATACCTTAAACCTTTAATTATTTAACCAGAAATAAGCAATGTTTCATTTCATTACAAGTTCTCTATATTAAGCGTTATTCTCGAAGGCATGTTTTTAAAACTATAGTAGAAGGATTATAAAATTTTGATTACTTTTTACTTTTCATAAGAAAAAATAAGTCGTCCCTTAATTGTCGCCATTTGCAAAATATCTTTTCATGTCCTGTTTTTAGAAAATCTGATTTCCCAGGAATTTTTAATTAAACTATAATGTGTAAATAGATTTATTGACCTAATTTCCTTCAGTCTCGGACCCGTTTTAGAAAAAAAACAAGAAGTAAAACCTTTCGTCAAGTAACCTTCCGAGGGAAGGAGTCATTACCCCGTGCATGACAAGGGTAACAGCGCTCTTCTTTTCCAGTTGTGTACACTTTCTACTTCCAAGGATTACCCTTAAATAAAATTACTTCAAATAAAATTCGTATTCTCTCTAAACAAACAGTAGGTTTCCACTTTTAAAGTAAACGTGCTTCAGAAACGCCCTCGGAGCAATGTTGCTGTAGTTTCAGCTCAGAGTACAGGGCCATCAGGTCAGGTAAGAAGGCGCGCACCTTTGCTCTATGCGAATGATTTTTTCCCTCGTCACGCATTCTGTTCTCGTTGGAGAGCAAAGATTGCGTGACAGGGCCCCCAAAAGTGTTTGCTTTCGACGTAAGTGCCGATTTGGCATAACTTTAGCGCGTACCACTCAGATACACTGCACGTTCTATGGAAAACACCTAAACTATTAAGAAAAATACATACGATAACATCATTGACGATAATACTCAACTTAATAACTTCACACGAAATTAAGTTAGACCATGTCGTTGGGTACGTAGTTGGAAAATTTGTTCTGTGTTGAGACAATACCTGTTTCAAATTATTTCCCTACTTTTCGTTGTAGGTATGGTTATAAATGGACCTTTTCGGCGATACAGCGGCCACATTGAATTTTACTATGGGATGCTCAGGGGGCAAATTAGTATGTATTTGCTCCCTAAACATCCCATAATAGCTATTTGAAACAATAGAATTCAAAATGGTCGCCGGGTCCATTGTCTTCACGTTACGTTATGACCAGTGTCAGAGTCTCGGAACTTGGCTCGCTAATATTAATTAGCTGAACGGTCTAGGGACTTACCTTACAACAAAATTCTACCCTTCCCCTCCCTCGAGTGTGCTATTTACTATTCTATCTACACAAATCCCGCTGTTCAGATGAGTTTAAGATTAGCGGGTAGAATTGCCGCTAGTTCCCACTTCTATGACAGTGTCGTACAATGACTCGTCATAGAGAAGACCTACCGATGAAAGGAAAAAAAAATTCACGTTAACCTTTTACACTTACTTCAAGTCAGAGGTGCAAATTTCACTCCGAACTAAGGAGGGTCTAGTAGACAAACCACCAGGAGGGGACTCCCATGTGGAAAGAACCCTCC